ATATGGTCACCCTAGCAGCACATTGTCACCATGGTGACACTGTACTACTTGTGGGGGGGTGTTGAAATTTTTTTTTTTACACCGATTGCTTTTACACCCATAAAGGCTATAAAAGCAATCATTTTTCCTTCTCTCTGGCTGCATTCTTGCAGCCATTGAGAACTACTGTGGAGCTGTGATTGGTCACAGCTTGTCACATGGTACAAGGCTGTTGTGAATAGCCTTGTACCATGTGACCTCTGTGATCATTCACAGATTTCTCTAGTAGTAAGTAATGATGTCAGAAGTGACACCTTGCTTACTACTCTGCATGTGATCACTGATTGGCCAATCAGTAATCACATGATCGGGACTTCGCACAGAGGTCCCGTATGACGATAGGTGTTCCACTGTGTCCAGAGGACACAGCGGGCACCGGATCACGGTGCTGCGCACGCATCCCAGGGAGCGTGCAGTCCAAAATGGCAGATGCCGTTTATGAACGGCAACCCGCCCCTGGACTGCCACTGTCTGGCCGTTTATATACAGCAGCCGGACGACAAGTGGTTAAGTAGCAGAGGGGGGTTGTTAATCAGTTTCAGCTACTTTGGTGTTAATGAAATGACCCACCACCAAAAACCAGTCATGCTGAACGATGTTACATGCATCATAACGTTCTCCACAGCTTCTCCAGACCCTTTCACATCTGTTACATGTGCTCAGGGTGAACCTGCTCTCATCTGTGAAAAGCACAGGGTGACAGTGGTGGACTTGTCAATTCTGGTGTTCAATGGCAAATGCCAATTGAGCTCTATGGTGCCAGGCAGTGGGCACAGGGCCCACTACAGGACGTCAGGCCCTCAGGCCACCCTCATGAAGTCTATTTCTGATTGGTCAGACACATTCACACCAGTAACTTGCTGGAGATCATTTTGTAGGGCTCTGGCAGTGCTCATCCTGTTCCTCCTTGCACAAAGGAGCAGATACCGGTCTTGCTGATGGGTTAGGGACCTTCTACAGCCCTGTCCAGCTCTCCTAGAGTAACTGCCTGTCTACTGGAATCTCCTTTATGCTCTTGACACTTTACTGGGAGACACAGCAAACCTTCTGGCAATGGCATGTATTGATGTGTCATCCTGGAGGAGTTGGACTGTCCTGTGCAACCTCTGTAGGGTCCAGGTATCGCCTCATGCTACCAGTAGTGACACTGACCCTAGCCAAATGCAAAACTAGTGAAAAACAGTGAGAAAAAAAAACGAATACGGAAAAAAAATTTCAGTGGCCTCCACCTGTAAAATGGATTCCTGGTTTGGGGGTTGTCTCATTGTTGCCCATCTAGTGCAGCTGTTACTTTCATTAACACCAAAGCAGCTGAAACTGATTAACAACCCCCTCTGCTACTTAATCAACCAGATCAATATCCCAGGCATTTATTTGACTTGATACTATATTAAAAAGTGTTCCTTTAATTTTTTTGAGCAGTGAATATTAGGGATAATTTACTAAAACTGGTGCACTCAGCATCTGATCTGGTGCATAGTAGCCAATCAATTTCTAAAGTTGTTCAATATAACCTGAAAGTTAATTGGTTTCTATGCACAGCTGCACCAGATTTTGCACTCTCCAATTTTAGTAAATATTCCCCATTGTGTTTCATTCATAGAAGGTGTAGTAACAACATCTATGAATGGAGCATCTGGGCAGAGGGCAGGCATAGTCGGAGATGCTTGATGACAGCCCCTTAGTTCTATTAATTTTAACCGCACCAGAAGATTGCGGTTGTGGGGACATGAATGGAGCCGTTTGACCAAAAAAAAAGTTCTTCAAAACGCGTAGCCAACACTACTGTTCCCAGATGTGACATCATCCAGGAGATTCCCCACAACACACTGTGCCCATGTACAGAGCTCTGGTCTTCCTCCATATAACAGCGCTGCTATCCAGGACTACAAGTGTGAGAACACAGAGGTGCCAATGCTGGGGAGTGTTGAGTACTGGCCTTTTCTATTTTAATTTCATGAGTGGACAGTTTGCATTTTATTAATAAAGCTATTAACTCAACTCACTTAACTATAAGTCAAGATATGTAGATCAGTCGGCAGGATTGCCAACACTGGCTGGGAATACAGAGCAGAAAAAAAAAGAACTGTATTATCAGTCTAACAAAGTGAGCAGTACACTGGATTTATGGCAGATCAACAGGAACTGAGTGTTTTTAAAGGAATAAACATCAGGACATCTGCAGAGATGTATGATTATATAGTATAGAATTTTTTTTTATTGCCCTGATATACAATTTAAGGGAAACCTGTAATAAAAGGAAAATCGCATGCTATTGATGACCTCCTTTTAAAAATACTAGGAGCCTGACTATCTCTGGCTGTCAATGAGCAGTAAAAATGAATGCAACAAGTGAAGTGAAAACTCACAATCTGTATACATATTCCACACCAAAGCAATGAAAAAACTACATCCATACAAGAAAAAAAAATGAGAGAGAGGGAGAGGGGGAGAGAGAGAGGAGAGGAGAGGAGAGAGAGGGAGAGAGAGGGAGAGAGAGGGAGAGGGAGAGAGAGAGAGAGGGGGGGGGAGAGAGAGAGGGAGAGAGAGGGGAGAGGGAGAGGGGGAGAGAGAGAGAGAGGAGAGAGGGGAGAGAGAGAGAGGGGAGAGAGAGAGGGGGGGAGGAGAGAGCCTCTTTTCCTCTCTCCCCCTCCCTTGGGATATGTGATTAAAGGAAACATACATACCTGTTATAAGGCGACTCTGTGCTATACGCTACGTTTAAATACGCATCAGTTTTTTAAAGAAACAAACACATACAAGAGCCATATTTTTTTTATTTTCAAAGAACCATTCTGTTTTGCAGAAAAAAAAAAAACACATCAATTAGTCCCTTTGCAAACAATATGCATCATGGATCTTGTTCTCTTTGCTTTTACAGGCTTTTAAGTATCAGCTGTGCCCAGTGAAAAGTGTCAACATTTCGCTTACTCCTGTGAATTGCAGACACAGAAGACAACAGTACTGTCTACTGAATAGATCTTAACAAAACATATTGCTACCACCTACTGGTGAATAAACAGTACTACTACTGAATCATGGGTATTCGATGATATATTTTATTAGGATGTCCTTAGTAACTAGGACAGTGGGAAGTAGTTTCTCAGTTTGGTTTAATGTGAGCTTACGTGTAGGCCAAACCAGTTTATGGGTTTCCACCTTGAAGCCCAATCAACCTTGGGTTTGAACCCCACTGGGAATACCAATTGCAAGAAGTTTGTAGGCTCTTTCCATGCGTGAGTGTTTACTGGTCTGATTTTCTTCCACAATCCAAAAAATATATTGCCGAGTTAAAGTGGTTGTAAACCATTACATTTACCCAGTGCAGTGACCAGCCTCAGGTGATCCACAGAGATTAAAAAAATCCTCCTACATAAGTTGTATCCGTTTATCTACAACATTCTGTCCCCTACATCCATTCAAAGTGCAGAATTTATACAGGATCTCTCAGTTCTATATATATATATATGCATGACTAATTTGTCATGTATTTGGACAATTGGATCAGTTTGATATACTTTATGTTTTAAGCGCTGCACCTTTTATTGGATTATAGGATCTGCAAAGCAGGGGCAGAAAGCCGAGTACACTTTGAGAGCTGATTGGAGGGAAGGGACACAACCACTTTCACACAGCACACACAACAAGAGCTGAGACTGTCAATCACAGATTGTGCCCTCCTGTCACCATTTTTCTTGGTATCAGGAAAACTCATCAGCAGTCACTCATGCGGATAGCAGAAGAATGAGGCAGAGGACAGAATTCAAGTCTGAGGTTTACAACCACTTTCACAGGCTACCAAAATAGGCCCTACCTTCTGTTTGACTAGGAGACATTGGGTTCTGATTTAATTCAGGAGCAGACAATGATGTCATGTGTTCTGTGCTCTTTGCAAAACATCGAGGAATAGTTCAGTGCTATATGAGTAAAATATTCAAACTAAAATGCAGAAATTCTATGCTTTAAACCTAAAATTGCACAAAAATTGCTAGTTATGTACCTTTCAAAATATTAAAAAAATGTAAACTGCATGTTCTTAAAAAAAAAAAAAAAACATTTTGGAAAAAAATAAGCAGTGCACTAAAATAGCTTGATTGATGTGCCTTTGCACATCATAGAAAAGTTCTATTGTGCATCCACAATTTCCCTCAAGACAGCAAGCCAAAGTTAAATAGTCTAAATTTGGCACAACTGATAAATCTGAAGCCTATAAAAGCACCAGAGAACAAAAGTAGCAAGAAACACATTTTGTTGCCCTGTCTGACAATATCAAACTAGCTTAGTACCAGAAATGGATATTAACAAACCCACCAAAAATACTTTTTGTGCAAAAAAGAAAAAAAAAAAAAAGACAAGTGAAGACAAAATTGTAAACCGTTTAGTAAATTAAAATCCTCTCAATAAGAACATATCTAAAACAGAACTGGAAGAATTGGCTGAATACTGAATAAAAATTATTCATTAAAACCAAATAAAATTATTTTGATCCATTGCACGTGTCACCTGGGAATGTTAAGCAGGTGGTAAAAAAATAAAGTAAATAAAATGCTATGTTTTAAGGCAGGCACACATGAGTAACAAACACTTTAACATTAGATTGCCCTTTGTAGTGTGAAAATATTTTCTCTTGATAATTTGCATATTAAAGCTTTTTATTTTGGTACATTGCCTCATGCTTAGGTATTAAGTCTCAAACCCCCAGAAGCATAAAGCAATGTAAAATATACACATACCTAATATGTTGATCCCAACACCCTGATATTTAGTGTCTGTGACTTTCTCAAATATAGATTTTTTTTTTTCTCTGATCGGACAAATGTAAACGGTGCTTTACAGGCCTCCAGTACACACCGGATGTATATGGAGGCTGCAAGGTGATATATTCCTTGGTATGCTTTAGCATCAGCCTGCTGTTTTATATAGTAAAGTGGCTGGCCACAAGGCTGGATGACCAAAGCCTCTCATGAGGGTGTGACTCGGATGCGGAAGAGTCCCTGCTGAAGCTGCAGCCGGAAAAGGCGACAATTGGCGATACGCAATGCAGCACAGCCTGTGCGTCTGAGGTCAGAAGGGAATAAAGGTTTGGTGTGATGCCAGGTGCCCGTGCTCCTCTTAAATTCTCTCACATAGTCATAACTTGTACCTAACAGAGAAAACAATATAGTCAAAATATTATAATACAGACTAGCAGGTGTTATTACATAAAAGTAGAATTAAAGCCAAAACTTTCAGTTTAAAGTTTTGGATAGAGTGAGTGCTGAATCCTCTGTCATGTGTTTATTGCTGTCTGTGTCCCCACTAGGGAGATTTACCCTTTCTATCCATTTTGGTAATCTAAACAGAAAGCGATGGGGAATCTGAAATTTTAGTTATCACTGTAAGAAGAATAAAGAGGATATCTTTGCATTTTGAAAGGTGCTTCTGTGACAGCTAAGAGGGGAAATCTCTTCAATAGGACCAAGATATTAAAAACAAAATGTGACAATCTTCCCTACTCAATCCTAAACTATACAGTATATAAAAAACATTTGTATAACTAAATTGAAATAATAACTAAAGAATAACTGAATACTCTCTGTACAAAATAACTGCTCTCACTATTCTTTTCTTTAAAAAAACCCGCATTTACAGGATAGCAGCAATGTGAAGAAACAAAGGAAGCTCACTGAGGTTTAAAAAACAGATGTATAGGATGGATCCCGCAACCAGATATTGTAACTTTTACAATATGTGTTCTATGTTAAAGTTTATGGGATTTATGCGCTGGCCATGTTGGGGAGGTCAAGAGCAGGATCGGGGGTGGGTTGTGGTTTATTTTTCATTGCAATGTACACCTGTCTCACAGTTTATTTTTTGCCAGTTGTTTTACTGCTGGTTTTCACACTGTCTGCTATGGATTTATATCTGTATCAATGTACCATGTCCTGGTCTACCACGTGGGTCTGGTGCCTATTTACGTAAACACATTCTTTTCCGTTTGGGAAAGGTCCCCTTAAAATTTCTCAGTAGATTGTCCACAGTCTCTCTGACAAAATAAAGTGCTCTGCAGCATTACCGCTCCTTAAAGTGGAGTTCCACTCACACTGTCAAAAAATAAAAGTCAGCAGCTACAAAAACTGTAGCTGCTGACTTTTAAAAAAACAGCCACTTACCCGTCCCTGGGTCCTGCATTGTGTCCCCCCAGCCCGTTTCACCGGCCGTCCTGTATGCCAGGAGGCCGGCATCTTCATTGTGCGCACCTGGCTGTGATAGCTTGCAGCTTCACAACTGGGTACCCACTGCGCATGCGCAAGTAGCGCTGCGCTTCATGAATGGTCCTGTAGTCTTCTGGGACCTGTCACGTGTCCCAGATGACTACGGTAAGGGAGGGAGGACACCTTCCACTTCCGATCGCCTAGGCGATCGGACCGGAAGTGGGAACGGGTACCTGTCAAATTCGGGTACCCGCCCCCCAAAAGGTGCCAATCCTTAATGGGGAGCGGGGGGAGTAGTCCTTAAAGCGGAACTTCCCCTTTTGGGTGGAGCTCCACTTTAAAACCCAACAGGCAGACATTGTTGTTCTAGTTGAAACTCATGTTACCAGCCATCTCCAATTAGTCCTTAAATGCCCCTAGGTAAGATGGTCTTATCACGCTACTAATTCTCCCAACTCTTGAGGAGTATCGATCTGACCCACGTGGCAGATTTGGTTTTCTACAAGCCTGTATATATTGGTCGCCCTTTACATATTATTGCCTGATACATTCCCCCCCCTATAATTTTGTGGTGATCACGAAGGCCTGGCCTTTATGGCACAAACACCTGGCCACACCTGTGGCATGGCAAGGTGACTTCAATATGGTCCTAGTCCTTTAAACATCGCTCCGAAGGAGTCTACTCCTGTTTTTCCGCTGCACATTCATCTATGTACCGCATAGATTTTATTCTCCTCTCCCGTACCTTTGCTAGAAAGCGTGGCTTCAGCTCTAGAATTTTATCTTACCGTTTCCCATGTTGGGTGCTTTTGGCTTTGGGCCCAACTTCAACAAGGCCCATTTGGCTTTTGAATCCCTTTTGGTTGACAGCTTTGGGAGACCCAGAGGTGCTAACCAAGAAATGGAAACACTTTTTTTTTTTTTTTTTGAATACTGCTTCCCCAGGGGTAGTAAAGGAAGCATTTAAACTTCATGCTCGAATATTGCTTACCCTTCAGATTTCCTGCCTGAAGTCCTCATGCAAATTGGTTGTCAAAACTGCTATTACCCAGCTGAGTTCACTGGAAGAATCATTTACCCATTCCCAACACTGGGAATGAATGGGCAAGAATGGGCACAAATTTCACGCTAGATGTGCAAAGCTGATAGAGACATCCCCAAAAAGACTTGCAGCTGTAATTGCAGTGAAAGGCGGTTCTACAAAGCATTGACTCAGGGGGGCTGAATACAAATACACGCCACACTTTTTAGATATTTATTTGTAAAAAATGTTGAAAACCATTTATCATTTTCCTTTCACAATTATGTGCCACTTTGTGTCGGTTTATCACATAGAAATCCCAATAAAATAAATGTACGTTTTTGGTTGCAACATGACAAAATGTGGAAAATTTCAAGGGGAATGAATATTTTTTCAAGGCACTGTTTGCCGATGCCATCCTTCCGCAACTACTTGAACTGTACAATGACATTTAAAACTGCTACCTTGCCCTCTACCATGCGAGAAGCTATGATTAATGTTTCCCAAAACCAAGCAAGGACCTCTCTTCTCCTGAACCTTACTGTCTCATCTCCTTACTGCAAGTGGATGTCAAGATTCTGGCAAAGATATTGGCCTCCCGTCTTAATCAAGTTATACTACCTTTAGTTCACCCTGCCCAAACAGGCTTTATGCCCGGCAAAAACACAGCCATTAACATCAGGCGGCTATTCATGAATATGCAGGCATCACACAATGTCATTGGCACAAGGGTGGTGGTGGTACTAAAACGCCGCCAAAGCATTTGATTCGGTGGAATGGGGATAACTCTGGGAATGTTTGAAACACTTTGGCTTTGACCCCAAATGTATTAAATGGGCACAATTGTTATATCAGTCACCCGAGTTTCGGTCAATGGCTGGGTATCTGACCATTTGACAGGGTTGTCTCCTTTCTCTGTTACTTTATGCCCTCAGCAGAACCTCCGGCTATATCCCTCAGATCCAATCCCAGGGTTCACAGCCTCCGGTCTGATCACTTGGTGGAAACAGCTGGCATGTACACTGATGACACTATACTACGCTTGGAGGATCCAGGAACTTCCCTTGCTTCTGCCTGAAATACCACTAATCAACTAGGGGCCCCTTAGGCTTACGCATTAATTGTGATAAAGCCCAAATACTATCCCTTGAGCACTTTCCATCAATTGCAAACGTAGGAAAACGTACCTCTTGCCAGGGTTGCCTCAGTCCGCTATGTTGGGGTGCAGGTTTCCCAATCCATTCAGGACTATATCTCCTTAAATATTGAACCCTTGTTTACCCTAATAAAACAAAAGACTCAAGTCTGGGCAAGGCTCCAGCTAGGTGTCATGGGGAGGATCAATTTGATTAAAACTGTCTTACTACCCAAACTGCTATAATTTTTCTGGCGCTGCTCCCCAGTATACTTGGCACTTAAGATCTTTAGAACCATTTACCCCCTGTACTTTCCCCCCCTTTTTTTTTTTCGAATGCTCATTATTGGCCTGTTTATATTGGCTTACATTATGTGTGTACCTTGCACTTAATTTCTCAATAAGCGGTTTTAAACATGAAGGAGAAGCATAGGTTTGCAAAAAAAAAAAAAAACCCCACAACAACATTTATACTAGGTGGATCCAGCATTGATCTGATACTGCATCTGTCTCCTGCTGCTTCTAAGACCGAGAACTGAGTGATCAAACACTGCTGATCTCTCAGCTCATGGTCTTCCGTAAGCAGAGATCAGTTGACTTCAGTCACTGGCTCTCTGCTCTGCCACTCCAGCACCCACTGGAGTGCTGAGCTGTGGAAAGGGCAGTAGTGGCTCGCTGAGAGGCTGAGCCAGCTGTCAGTCCTGGCATCTGGATGAATCCTGACTTTAAAGTCGGGATCTCTCTAGAGCCTTACCTGTTTGAGTGAAGTCATCCGACAGCAGGCTTTAACCCACTGTCAGCTGAAAATGGGTCATAAAAGTGCAGAATGAAGTGCATTCCTGTGATCCATAGAAGTATAGCCAAAATAGCTTTGGCCATACTTCTACTTTAAAGGGGACCCATGCTCACCTTAAACCTGCAATAACTGTGATGCTGAAAAGCAGGCACCTAGACAGGATTATGTGTACTTTCAGATGCCACGCAGAGCTCCTCAGTTCACCACCTTGTGTGTCACTTGGGCCAATGCTAGACTATTTTGCACCCTAGGCAATACCAGATACGTGTGCCCCCCCCCAAAAAAAAAAATAATAAATAATATAAATAAAATGTTTTAAACACAGTAGAAATATTTAAAATCAACAAAACATGAAACTGCTAAATGTCTTTTAATGTGCAAATAAGATGCCACCAGTACCAATATTAAAGACAAAATCAGTGCCACGGTCGAACTGCATCTGGCAGTGGCAAGGTGACTATTGCAGTGAGAGGATGATGGATCCTCTGTCCTTTCTTCCTCCCCTCTGCAGCCCCTCCTCTAAGCTGAAAGATCATTCATGATGTGGTGTCGTCCCACACAGAGAGAGTGCCAGCCTGGTGTCACAGACCTGGAATAGGCCATTGAACGTTCATCCAACACCCAGCTCAATGGCGCATGGGTAGTGTGCCCAAGATCAGGATGATAGACCAGACCACCAAACAGAACTTTTTAAATCCAGTTCAGCAATGACAGCTCTCATAGTTCTGTCCTCACACATCCAAAAGTTCTCTTGTACATTGCCCATAAGGAGCCAGGACTCACCAGCTCTTCACTCCCAAGCTACACTAATCTGCTTTCATACCACATGAGAAATACCCAGTACTTCTAGATATGGAGGAGATTGTGACAATGTCCATAATGCAGCACCCATTCCCGAGCGTCCAACCACCAGGCTCAAGTGTCATCACATTGGCTCTACTCAGCAGTAACAATTATCAATAGACAAAGAAATACTTAACTAGCCTGACCAACAACCTTTGAAACAGCAGCCCCCATCAGCTAGTATATAGCCAGTTTAAATGTATAATGTTAACTACCTGTGTCAAGGTCTCCAATGACATATATACTCGCACCAATAGGCACTGCTCCATAGACAAAGGAAGAGCTTGTTGGAATACACAGATTCTGGTCATTTAGATAGATCCATCTGCAAAAAAACAAACATGCACTGAAAAATTTAAACTATACCAGAGTGTTAAAGAGAGGACTTTTTGCACTCATTAAAAACAAAAAAAAGGAGATAAAACAAAAGCTGATTGAGACTCAGTCAACCACTTAGGGTGTCAAATTCCAAAATATGCAAAAAAAAAAAAAAAAAAAAAAAAAAAGCTTATAACACCGAGTTACATAATTTGTTGCATGTACAAATTCTACTTATAATAACTTGGCCAAGGTATTTAAAATACTTCCCCAAAATCTGCTCACATAATAGGCTAGGTTCACACTATTGCAGGAATGAAATAATAAAAAACATACTCACAGACGAAAGATGTATCTAAAAAGCATAGAAAAATGACAATGGCCACAACGGCGGGCAAGGTGTTCTCACAGTCAGTGCGGTCAAATGGCTGACGCGTTTCGGGGACGAATCCCTTTCCTCAGAGCTGATGACCAACCACTGATGCTGATGTATGGTGTATGGACAGAAAGAGCCTCGCTCTCGCCTGAGGCATCAACAGCGAGGCTCTTTCTGTCCATACACCATACATCAGCATCAGAGGTTGGTCATCAGCTCTGAGGAAAGGGATTCGTCCCCGAAACGCGTCAGCCATTTGACCGCACTGACAGTGAGAACACCTTGCCCGCCGTTGTGGCCATTGTCATTTTTCTATGCTTTTTAGATACATGCTTCGTCTGTGAGTATGTTTTTATTATTTCACTCCTACAATAAACCTTGGATAATGCACTAGGTGTGTGCGCCACCTGTTTTCTCTCTATCCAGTGGCTGATTTCCCCGTCTGAGGAGGGCTGCACCCCTGGAGCATTTCCTTTGGTTGTTGCTGTCCTGGTACCCTTGGCTTCCCTTTTGGCTGTGCATATCCTGAGGCGTTGGAGAGTACATACGATATCCGGTTCACACTATTGCAGGTACCGCACCTGCACCCCCGCAACTAAAACGCACTGTTCTTTAAAAACATGTGTGGCTGCCATTTGCGTGTTAACGACATCTATCAATGCAGCATGTTTGCAGGGACAGGAACCACAGGGAAATTGCATGGTGCAAAACCGCCCTGCATTTTCCCTGCAGCCACATTTTCAAAATGCTGCAGGGACCTTTTTCTGTGTGAAACTCAGGCACAGCAGCTCTTTCAAATGAATGGAATGTCATGCCACAAACCCGCAAAAGTGTGCACCTAGCCTTAGTGTACATCATACATGACTCAAAAATGAGCGCAAAATTGCTTAGCAAAATTTGCTGGTTCACGCTTAGTTATATTCTTATGTATCTGCGCAAAGTATATTTTTTGCAAATAAATCTGATGTGTAGATATCGGAGGATAGACATTCCACCCTTTAACTGTATACACTGTAGTCTTACAAGAGCCCAATGTTGAAGCAATCCAGTATATGACAAAGCAGGGGTCTCCTAATGTCCTTAAAGGGTGAGCTTACTGTCCTTCATACTTTAGAGGGGCTAGACTGTGGCCCCCGAGAGAGAAAAATTCCCCAGTATCAGTGTTGTAAACAATGCCACAGGATTGGTGGTCTGTGGAAGTGAAAAAAGTAGTGCCCCATTGTTGTTGTCAGTGGAAGGAATAGTGTCCTATCTTTGGAGCCAAAGGGTTGATTAGTCCTCACTGTTGGTGTCAGTATAAGAAATGGCAACTCATCATTGGTGTTAGTGGGATAACAGTGCTTGCCTTTATCACTATTACCCACACTGATATAAGCCAAAGGTCAGCAGTTAGGGGATCACTGGGATAAAGCATACGTAATATGTAGATCGTAACTAGCAAGCTTAGGGTGGATGCAGCTTGCAAAGCTTGTAGATGGCTATTAATCCTGTATACAGCTTGCAAGACACACGTACACGGTCCACAACCCTATCCGCCACTGCCTTACAATACAGTTTTAAGAGGAATGACCTTCTAAACATCAAAGTGTACCTTTTAAAGTCATCATGGTAGAATTCGGATTTACAATTTAAGCCACCATTTCACTGTTTTGTTCATTTTCCCGACTTCTGACTCCACCAAAGACATAAAGTTCCATACCAACCCCACATGCTACTGCCCCGAACCTGCAGAGAAAATAAATACAAGTTGGAGACAATGTAGATAACAGGAAGAGTTTCTCCATAAAATCACAAGCAGCTTGCCCTCTCACCTTCTTTCTTTCAGGGGGCATATTGCTGTCCACTGCTGTGTTTTGGGATCATAACACTCAACGGACTCAAAAAGTTTTCCATACGATCCTCCTCCCATTGCATAGATTTTCTTCTTCATTGAGGCATAGCAGCCAATCTACGATTAACCAACAAATGTCAACACATCTGGATAAAAAGTTGCAAACTTTTTTTAAATGCATAGCCCATGTCTACAGATGGTAGTTTGAAACACTGTAGTCTGTAAAAAAAAAAGGATTGATGCTCGTTTTGAACAGTTCTTCAGTGACTACTCATACTACACTCTTTCCAAGTCCTTTACTGCATGTCAGTTTTTCAGGCGGACCTGATCGGATAGTCCATGTATCCCTATGCACTGGCGGGTGCAAACGGATTTATGTCTGTTTACACCCACCAACCTCCAATCCGACATGTTCCGCAAAAAAAAAAAAAAAAAAAGGAAGAAGAATTGGAAGGGGATCCGCCCCCCTCCATCTAGGTAGACCAGAGGGTAGTTGGACAGCTGGTCCATTTACACCTGACCGACTGCCCACAGAGCTAAGCAGGCTGTGTCCATGTCCACTCTGCATAAATTGAGCAGACACAGGACTGTCATCTGCCTGCACTGCTCAGCAGAGGATCAGCACAGATCACGTGCTGAAAAAAGCCCATTTTCAGTGTGAGTGTGTGTGTGTGTGAGAGAGTGAGAGTGAGAGGAGAGTGAGAGTGTGTGTGGTGTGTGTGTGTGTGTGGGGGGGGGTAGTACATACACGGTGGATATAAAACGTCTACACACCCACATTAAAATGTCATGTTCCTGTGATGTAAAAAAATTAGACAAATAATTTCAGAACTTTTCCCCCTTTAATGTGACCTATAAACTGAAAAACCCAATTGAAAAACAAACTGAATTTTTTTTTTTTGGGGGGGGGGGGGGGGGGGGGGACATAAAAAAAAAACTAAAATAAAATGTTGTTGCATAAATGTGACACCCCCCCTTCCTGACCAGGCCTTTTTTTTTTTGCTATTCGGTGCTGCACTATTTCAACTGGTAATTGCGCGGTCATGCAGTGAGGTAACCAAACAAAATTGATGTCCTTTTTTTCATACAAATAGAGCTTTCTTTCTGTGGTATTTGATCACCTGTGTGCTTTTTATTTTTTGCACTATAAACAAAAAAAAAGACAAAATTTTGAAAAAAATATATAGTAAACTCAAAGTTAGCCATAAATTTAAGCCAAAATGTATTCTGCTACATGTTTTTGTTAAAAAAAAAAAAATCCCAATAAGTGTATGTTGATTGCTTTGTGTGAAAGTTATAGCATCTACAAAGTATGGTATAGGTACTGCAACTTACACCATTTTTTTGCGATACAGCGCTACACTAGTTTAACTGACAATTACGCTGTCATGCAATGATGTACATAAATGAAATTTATGTCCTTTCTTCTGACTACCTAACATTTTTCAAGACCCTGTGTAAATATGTGCCCTGAACTGTGCTGTGCCCTGTACTAAATACTCCACTAGTGTGTGGCAGCAACAGAAGCAGTCCTTGAGGCAGAGACCAGGTTGGCCAGGACAGGAGGGACAAAAAAAAGCATGTGTTACGCCTAATTCCATGTCTGCTACAGACACTTCTTTTTTGGGGTGTTCTTTGGGTTGGGGTACCAGGAATGGCATCAGGAAAATGCCTCTCATGCAGTCGGCTAACTGCATCTGGGTTGGGGGTTTGTGCCACAGCACCTTCTGGATACAAAAGGGCTGTGATGATCTCTTCCTGGAATTTTAGGAAGGATCCACTTCTTTCAGTTGCTTTGTAAAGCACAAAAGCATTATATAGAGCCAATTGAAATAAACAGACATTTTTGTACCAGCGTCTGGCTTTTCGGAAAACTAAGTACGGCTTCATCATCTGGTCGCTGAAGTCCACCCCTCCCATGTAAAGGTTATAGTTGTGGACACAGAGGGGCTTCTCAACAACACCAGCAATTTGGATGGTCATGTCTGCGTGAATAGAAGACAGGACGAAAACATTCCGTTTGTCATTCCACTTCACTGCAAGCAATTTCCTCATTTCTCAAGCAGGTTTTTTTTTTCCCCTAAGACGGATATTTACAAGCTGTTGGGGGAATACCTGGCGATTGGGTCGCACGGTGCCACATGCGCCAGTTCCAAGATTGTACAAATGTTTAAATAGTGGCACACTTGAATAAAAATTGTCCATGTATAAGTGGTACCCCATATGGAGAAAGGATGACACCAAGTCCCAAACTATCTTGCCACTGCTCCCCACGACTATCTTTTCCCTCATAAATTCAAAACTTATGTATAGCCTGTTGCCCTCTCACAGGTCTTATATAAAATTGTTTGAATGCAAGGTGGCCAGAAAAATTAATGAGGCACTCATCAACGCAGATGTTTTGCTGGGGAATACAGACATCTATAAATGTTTGGTTAAGGTGATTTACGAGGGGCCGAATTTTGTGGAGCTCATCAAATTCAGGGACAGCTCGGAGGACAACAAAGTGTGTTGTCATTGAAATGCATAAAACGCATTATACTCTCATATCTATGCTTGGCCATGGCAGCAGAGAACATGGGCATATGATGAATTGGGTCTGTGGACCAATACAACCGAAATTCATTTATTTTTAGTAATGCCCATGTTGAGGGTTAGGCCCAAAAAACAAAAAAAAACTTTAAATTCAAAAAAACTAATGGATTTCCATACAAATGGTCTGGCAAGGTTTGAATTTAGGTTGGCAGCGATAAACTGTTGTGCATATAAATTGCTTTCATCCACAATCCATGCATACAGATCTTCCGTGAAAAACAGCTAAAAAAATAATCAAGGGGAGTATTTAAATTTGCTGCTTCCACCTGAATTCCGGGTTGGGCAGTGAATGGGGGAAGTACGGGTGCTACAGAATTTGTGGTCTGCCAATTTGGATTTTCAAGCAGGTCCGGAAGGATACTAGGGGCTCTACGGGCCTGTGTGGGAATTCTTGGTAGTTGCAGGACAATACTTGTGCTCTCCACCGCACCAGCTTGTACTGCACTTATGGGACTCGTCACATCACAAAGTGATACTGCAGTGCTGGTATGTGAAAGATCAGAATGTACTAGGCCGCTCGTGCTCACCTGTTCACCAAAAGGTAGAGCGGCACTAGTACTGCCACTCTGCTGCATATGAGAGTCATCATGCGACTGTAACATCTGAGCAACCTGGGAACGGGGTCAAGGGTTGCCTGATCTTAGCAGGGACCTCCTCTCCATCATCTGAGCTATCTGTTAGGGTGCCGCTAATGTCTACAGGTTCGTATTCTGAGGCTGATTGAGTCAGGAAGTTTTCCCCTTTGCTCTCATCTGACATGCTCAGAATCCTGTAGGCCTCTTCACTAGAGTACCTTTTCATTGACATTTTGGCCACTAAATGTACACATACCTAGTGCGCCTCACGAGAAAAAGAGCACCTGGCTGTCAGGGACTGCTTAAACCGCTACAAAAAAAATTCACCAGCAAGTGCTAACAGAGATCAGGCCTGATTCTGCGAACACTGCAGTTTTGTGTATAATGCATCAAGTGACAGTGATCTACTGACACTGCACTTGCTGGGGGAGAAGGGGGGGGGGTAAGGGTAGGGGCTAAAACGCAGGTGCTGGCAGGTGCCAGAACTAATCCCGCTAACGCTGCATTTTTGGGAACACTATACTAATGTGAACGCTGGTATAGTGCTGATCTGATCAAAGATATTGGTCTGTTCAGACACTATACTAGCAATGGAGGTTTATTGTGTATGTGAGCGTGTTCCTTGCAATCAATGGATTAAATGTGATTACTGGTGTACTGACGGGGCAATCTGATGCTATCTGGGAGGGGTGCTAACTGAAGCGAATGCTATCTGAAGTCGCCAGCGACACATACAGTGATCAGCAAAAAATCTGTACACTGTACTAATGACACTGGTGACAGGGCAGTGAAGGGGTTAACAGAGGGGGGTGATCAAGGGGTTAAATGTGTCCTAAAGTGTTCTGTGAAAAGTGTGCTGCTTTTACTCACTGTGTCTTGATTCTTCTCTCTCTGGTATGGAATGTGCCCAGAGAGAGAAGATGTCATCACTTCCTGTACCTGTGTAACTATAAACACAGGTACAGGAAGATCTCTGATAGGGCAGGTATAGATCATCCGACTTAGGCTGACCATTCCTGGCCTAAATCGGATGATTGATCCCTTGGGGATCAAGTCACGGCACCCATGGGTCGATGGAGGCGTGGGTGCCCCCCCCCCCCCCCCCCAGCTTGTGAAAACCACCACGGGAGCACGAAACGCGTATACATACACGTGATTTTGCGCACCCGTGCTGCCCTGTAGCAGTATTTCTGCTATACGGCGGCGCTGAAGCAGTTAAATAGGAGTCAGTAGACACCTGCCATCGTTTAAAGTGCCTCTGATTAACCCGAAATAAAGTCCAGCTGTTCTAGTAGGTCTTTTCTTAGTCAAATCCTACAGCAAAAGCCATGATCCGCAGAGAGCTTCCAAAGCATCAGAGTGATCTCACTGTTAAAAAGTATCAGTCAGGAGAAGGGTACAAAAGAATTTCCAAGGCATTATATATATACCATGGAACACAGTGAAGACAGTCATCAAGTGGAGAAAATATGGCGCAACAGTGACATTACCAAGAAGTGGACGTACTTCCAAAATCAATGAAAAGATGAGAAGAAAACTGGTCTGGGAAGCTGCCAAGAGGCCTACAGCAACATTAAAGCAGCTGCAGGAATATCTGGCAAGTACTGGCTGTGTGGCACATGTGACAACAATCTCCCGTATTCTTCATATGTTTGGGCTATGGGGAAGAGTGGCAAGACGGAAGCCTTTTCTTAAAAAAAGAAAAAACATCCAAGCCCAGCTAAATTTTTAAAAAACACATCTAAAGTATCCCAAAAGTCTGTGGGCAAATGTGTTATGGTCTTATGAAACCAAGGTTCAACTTTTTGGCCATAATTCCAAAAGATAAGTTTGGCGCAAAAACAACACTGCACATCACCATACCCATAGTGAAGCATGGTGGTGGCAGCATCATGCTTTGAGGCGGTTTTTTCTTTTGCTGAAACTGGCGACTTAGTCAAGGTAGAGGGAATTATGAACAGTTCCAAATACCAGTCAGTATTGGCACAAAATCTTCAGGCTTCTGCTAGAAAGCGGAACATGAAGAGGAACTTCATCTTTTGGCATGACAACAACCCAAAGCATACATCCAAATCAACAAAGGAATGGCTTCACCTGAAGGAGATTAAAGTTTTGGAATGACCCAGCCAGAGCCCAGACCTGATTCCAATGGAAAATCTGTGGGGTGATCTGAAGAGGGCTGTGCACAGGAGACGCCCTCGCAATCTAACAGATTTGGAGTGTTTTTGCAAGCAAAAGTGGGCAAATATTGCCAAGTCAAAATATGCCATGCTGATAGACTCATACCCAAAAAGTTGTAATAAAATAAAAAGACACACACACAAACATTTAAAGTGATTGTAAAAGTTAAACATTTTTTATTTAAAATACCAAACATGTCATACTTACCTGCCCTGTGCAATGTGCTGGATCTTGATCCACCGCTGTGTCCGAAAGCAGAGGTGCTGTGTCTCTCTCACTCTCTCCTCACTAAATTTAAATGACAGCAGCAGAAGCCAATGGCTCTCATTGCTGCCTCCAAGTCCAGTGATGAGAGAGAGAGCAGCACTGCAGTCCTTGGGCACAGTGCTGGATCGAGATCGGGCTCAAGTACGTATTTAGGGGGAGCAGAGAATGCATTAAGGTAAGAAATCTTAAGGGCCCTTTCACACCGATACGATTTTCCTGCATTTTTACCTTGCAAGAAAAAGGTTTTCTTTTAAATCCTACGGCACTCTTCACACCACTGCGCTGCGGGCGGGGTGAGTTCTGAAAAGTCCTGCATGTTGCATGTGTTTTTGGTGATTTTTTGACTCACATGTCCATTTTTCACAGGTGCAAGAAACCACAAAAAAAAAAAAAAAGCACCAGAAACGCATCTGAAAAAATCGTGGCAAAATGCATATACGTTTTTATTGTGATTCTGCTACAGAGCAGTGTGAAATGGCCATTAAGTCTTTACATCCACTTTAAGAAGACCAGCAAACTGACACCCAATCTTAATCTAACATTCCTTGAATTCTGGAAAGAATTAAAGCCTTTCAGTGTTGCTTGGGGGCTATATTATGTGCTTAGTTTAAAGACATAAGATGCTCAGAGGAGTACTATGTTGTATGTTACGTAACAGGTTTTTAGGCCCCCAGGTGCTGTGAGCATAATTATAAGTCTTTAGTGGAACAAAAGGAGTTAAGTAGCATAGGTCCAAAAATTAAGTGGCCATATTAAAGGATAAGTTCTCCTTTAGAAAATAATACATTTTACACCAATATTTAGGTGTTCCCCTCCCCCACAGCCACATTTAAAATCAGCGCAGATGAGCAAGGTTACGAATGAATAAACTACAAATCCCATCTGTCACCATGGCAGCTAGCTTTTAGTTCTCAATGGAGTACGAATGTGCTGATCAGCAAACTTGCAGTCTATTGACACTTCCTACAGCTTTCTAAATGAAAAATCGTACAGAGGTACAGCAAAAAGCTGGAGGATGTGTCTGCAGGAGCCTGACATTGCACCCACTGATCACGAGTGCAATGCATTCCAGGCTCCTGTGGGAAATAAATACATTTTTTGAAAAACTATGTCCATTTATTATTTGTTCGTTAAAAGCGAGCTTAGCCTTTATGGTTGAAAAATGTTTTTTTTTTTCTTAGCTGGCTCTGCTCTAGTGCTAAAGTTTTTATTTATGTATGTATTTATTCATTAGGATACCTGCTTCTGTCTGTGCCTACCCTCCTCATTAACATTATAAGCAAGTTTTTAAAATCATAAAATGTAAATGCAGCCAAGAACATACTTAACTATGTCCTGCTCTTGAGGTTTTGGCTGTGCACTGCATAGTATCCTAGGGCTCCGGTTGACAGCCGTTCTTTTTAAATGCTGCCTTTGCTATTGCATGCATAAAAGGCATACATTATAATGGCAAATGCAGTGTGTGCCAAGAGAAGCTGTGTTTGACCTGCCTTGCCAGCTCAAGAGCATCTCAAATAGGACATGCTGCATCCAAACAAATGCTGGGCAGCGGAACGCAAAGCAGATCAAATGCAGCCTCTGAACTTCCACATGTACTACTTAATTGTGGTCAATGATTTGACAACAGATTATAATGATCTGTGTTTGATGTGTGATCCAAACACACATCAAACACAGAAAACCACTCGTCCCCACCCCTTAAAATGCTCTCAGTTGTGTCCCAGTCCTCAAACCTATGCGTACGGTGATCTCAATTTAGGGCAATCAAAAGTTTGTTCACCACTTGTCCTGACTAAAAAGCACGCTTACCCTTTAGTAAATAGATTAGTGAAATAATAAATATGTTTCACACAATGTTACCATGTTGATGAAGAACTACCGTTCCTGCGTTTCGTATTTGAGGTACTACAATTCTGCAGGATTTGTTTGGAATTCAAGTGCCAAACCAAAGTCTTTTGCCAAGTTACATATTATGCACCACACCTGTGTGCTTACCTTTATTGACTGACTCACTAAGCTTTCCTCAAATACCTTTTTGAATAGGATTTATAAAAAAAAAATAAGTGTACAGCTAGATGCTTTCATGGCTAAATAGGAAGACTAGGAACCAAAAAAGGTGTATTGTCCACACACCTAAGTTATATTTGTATGAAAAGAAGTGAAAAGTGGATGACATATAAAATAGATCTGTGAATGAAAAACTGCAAGTCCCACCTGCCACTGGGGGACTTGTTCACAATGGAAAAAAGTGCAGTGACATCACTGCACTTGTAGTCCATTGTTTACTTCCTCCCACTCCATAACTGAACGTATCTACCTCTGTATGGACCCAGGGCTGGAGAAATTCTGCAGGACCCTGTGCACTGCTCCTTTGGTCTGCTGATTGTGGTTGCAATACTTTGCAGACTCCAATAGAAAAAAAAAAATTATTTTACTTTATGTATCTTACCCGCCCTGCTATACTATTTTCTGATATTTCCAGCGTGCAGGGCCACAATATCCTTCCTGGGTGCAGATTAAATCTTGTGTTGCCCCTAGTTTGTATGCCTGCAGAACAAATCTGCTTATTGCTTGCTATTTAAAAAAAATATTCATACAATCATCTAGAATGGGGTAAATACAAGTCATGCTGAAAATAGTAAGGATATCAGACATACCTTTCGCACCATAGTCATATTTTGCTGCTTGCTCCAGGTTTTCGTACAGGTGTCATAGGACTCCATAGAGATTAACTCACGATCCCCATCCTCTCCTCCCAGAATATAGATTACACCGTCAATTTCTACAACACCAAAACTGTGCCTTTCCTATCGAAGCAGATATAATTATTACATACTATTGTCTTATACATGCACAACAGTTTACTGATCTGGGAGTATAAATAAATGTTCTGCATTTAGTGGAAAAAAAATTGGTAGTCTAAGCAAGGGGCAAATCAGAGAAAGGATCAGAGATTTTCAGCTACTGTTTCTTGGACCTAAGAATGATTTGGGATCAAGTCTACTGGCCTGTGATTACATTACAGAACACAGATCAAAATTATTTAATATATATTATATAGCGTATAACAATAACACAAAGAAGCAGAAAACTCTTGTAAAAGTTGAACTCTGGTCAAACAAATTGGTTTAAAGTGGTTGTAAACCTCAGACATGAAATATAAACAAGGGGGGGGGGGGTCCCTTCCCTCCAATCAACTCTCAGAGCTCTCATCACTTAGCTATGCAGTGTGTAATTTCAACTCTCCGCCCTTTTTTTTCTCAACTTTCAGACAAGCTTTATAACTTCAACAATTTGAAGGGATATAGAGAAGAGAAGCTGCAGATAAACAGGCACAACTTTGCTTCATCTCTGTGTATCACCTGAGGCCAGTCACTGGTTTACAACCACTAAGTAAACAATTCATTGTTCTTTTGGTCTAGAAAGGATATACTTATCTTTTTCTTTGCCTCCACCCCCCATCCATTCTCTCTTTTTGCACATGCCCTGGAATGTGAGCAAGCCCTCAACATCATCGCATACAATGCAGAGGCTTATCCTGTACTGCAAGTGATGATGTCAGTGAGATGTGAGAAGGGACAACTGGAGAAAAGCAGGTGCTTTGTGGGACCAGTCATCAATACTGGAATCAGCAGGGAGAAAGCCTGCCATACCATGGCTGGAAGAGGAGTATTTTGCTCTACTAGTATAGGGGAAAGTATACAATAGGTTTCATTTATTTGGTCAGCCTGGAGCTGGGCTTTTAATAAAGGTTGGTCAATATACCTAAAAGAATGCTAACCATTTTTTTTCAGATATTTAAAATACCCCGGACTGCTACATTAAAGCTAGGCATGTTTTGTGCAGAGCTCAATTCAAGAAGCAGAAGGGATGAAACTAATTTACTTCCACTACTTTTGGGTACGGTGGAGCTGAATCTAAATGTCTCACTAGGTCTTTTAAGCAGAACTCCAGCCAAATAGTTAAACATGCAGTTGAAATATATTTCAACTGTTTTACCGGACTGTTTTGTAATTCTGCTCAGCAAGTCTTGTGATTCCCACACCCCAATCAAGATTGCACAATTTCTCACACTATGTGAAAGAGTCGTGTAAATCACAAAGCTAAATTACAAATCGTTTAGACAATAAAACAGCTCATTAGCTGTGGGATGAACCATTTTCTCTGGAGCTCCACTTTAATTTTGCTGAGAGTGTAGGCAGGGAAATAATTCTGAACCCCAACCAGAGGCCAAGAATGACTACTTAGTAATGCAGAAAATAGAAAAAAAAAACAAAAAAAATCGCAAGATTCCCCAATCAACACAGTCAGGGTTGAAGGGGAGCTCCCCACCCCCGCATCGCTATTGTGTTCTGCCTGTGAGGAGTCTCCCCTGCAAAGGAACACAAATGATCACTGCCAGTGGCTATAGGTTCCGCCAGTGATCGCATGAAACAAATTGGTTGTACTGAAATCGGTCAATGGATTGACTTCAGTACATCCACCCTGCCCATAGATGGATCGAATCTCACTTGGTCCCTGCTGAACCGGATAAGGTTTGATCCATCTACACCTGGCTTTAGTCATTCTACAATCTTAGTGGGCCTGGATTATCTAACTTTCAATACATTTCTGGTATATGGAGAACTTACTTGGGCTGGTGACTGGACAACTAAACTTGGTACATCTCCACCACCAAATAAGACAAAATATCATATATACAGTAGAGTAGTACTAGCTTCCAAGACACCACCAGGAGCATTAATCACTTTCCTACGCGATCCTAAATCCACAAGAGTGTTTTGGATGGAGCTAATCTTTTAATGACAAAAAATTTCTGTTTACTGGAGGTTTAACGTGTTCTTTTGAATCCGAGAAATCCTGATAATGTTCTTTTAGCATTAAAAATAGAAACTCTAATTACTGCTAATAGCTTACCTCAAGCATAGGTGGTAGTGGGCTCCATGCATTGGCATCTGGATCATACTGCTCCCCAGAACCCAGAGTGTCGCCATTTTCATTCTGTCCCCCAAGAACAAACAAGAAACCCTCTGCCAACATAAAAGCAAAACAGACCTCAGCATATACTTGGCATCAACTCTTATGGTTTTAGCCCTGGTTCACACTGGATCGGACTTTGAAATCATGGAACTTCACTTGAAGTCACACAATTTCAATACCACAAGCAAGTGTGATATCAGTTGCAACTTGGATGACATCTGTGGCCGCTTTATACACGGATGTCTATGCCAGTTGCACCTGAAATCGCAAAAAAAAGTGCAGGAACCTTTTTACAAAATTGGTGCAGCAAAATAAAGTCAGAGTTGTACTGATTTGAACGGTTACACTACATACAATGGGGTGCAACTTGTCATGTGATATGAAACCAAATCGCATGACAAGTCGCACTAGTGTGAACCAGGGTTTAATCTCTCATTGGCAGTATTTCAGGACAAAATTATGCAAAATTAACTAGAATATACTCATTTGAATAGTATGGAGTACATCAGACTGAACAACAACACATAAGTGTTTGTTAAACCTACAGCATATATACTAACTTACCAAAGATATATTTTCATATACTATGGGCAGAAGATATAACCCCAGAGGTTTACCCTCTCTGTTTATCCTAGTGACCACTGTAAATGGCAAAGAAAGTGATGTGAAAGCCAAAATGTATAGTTGTTACTGGAAGATGAATGGCTGAGGAATCTTTCAAAGATGACAACCATTTTGTAGAATATAGATGCCAGGGATGCCATTAGGGACTGGCCGAGATTTGTTTAGTTTATGGGCAGGCTGATTGTACCAAAGCAGATCCGTTGATGGACTTGGGTACAATCACCAAGTCATATTTCTAGCATGTGATTATTGCTAGCAGCTATAGCCACTAGAGATAACGGTGTTCTCCCAGCAGAGACAGCTCCCTGCATCCTCCCTCTGTGAAAGCACAATAGCTCCACAGGAGGGATTTCCCTATCAACACAGTCAGTGGTTCAGCAGGGACTGGACGAGATTCGATCCATGTATGGGTGGGCTGATTGTACCCAAGTCGTTCCATCGATCAACTTGGGTACAGTTTGTCAGATTTCTACCATGTGATTTTTGCCAGCGGCTATAGCTGCTTAGCAATAATCATTGTGTTCTCCCAGCTGGGAGAACTCCCTGTACCCCCCCCCCCCCTGGGAAAACACAATAGTTCAGCAGGAGGGATTGAACACAGTCAGTGTTGATGGGGGAATTGAGCGATTTCCCAAAACCCCAAAGTAAAAGGAAATCTTCCCAAAAAAAGGGCAAGGCAAGCCCCCCCTACCCCAATACCATAGGTTTTATTTTTGTCCACGACAGGTTACTGCAGGTCACAGCGTACACATCAATACATACGTAAAACCAGTTATCCGAACAAGAAAAACATCAGCCTCTGTCAATATCTTCCAATAGTACCCAACCCAGAAATTCGGAAAGGATTGCAGAAAGGCAGAAGAGCTACATGAAGAATGGCACTTGTACATGTTCTATTTTATGTCTATTTAATAAATGGACTTTTATATTTTTGCACAAATTGTGGTATGATGTGGCACTAACTAATGCTGCTGTGTGGGATTTTAAGTCCTGGGAATACTTAGCAGGTTTCTTACAAATGAAAGTGGGATGTTTACACGACAACAGAAGAAGAAGTCGATATAGTGTCCACTCCTCAGGCGGAGGTAAAGCTTGTTGCAACTTTGGAACTGGATGTGGAGCCAACACTTGTATTGTTGATACATTCTAGCTTCAAAAAGGAAATACATTATGCAAAAGGCAGGGGCAGAAACCTTCATCTCCAGTATACTTTAAAAAATAAACTTCCACTGACCGTCGAGGAGGAGACTTACCTGCAGATAAAAACCCCATGATTGATTCTGGGTGTACTTAGTGGTGCCAGCTCAATCCATAATTGTCTGTTCCGATCATACAGAGGGCACATACAACGAACATTGGCCAATGGCTTCCGGGACCTTAAAAGGACAGACATTTCACATTATTTATTTATTCTGCTTTCCTATAATAAGTATTACAAATTCCTTAGCAATTGATTTGAATGGAGGAATCTCCAGGGAATTCACAAATCCTGTGTGTCAGGCAACAGCAGACTTAGAATTCATATACAGTGTTATCCTCTGGTGAACCCAAGATGTAGCCTATATGAGCATTTTTAATATCAATCTAGGTACTGCTATTCTGAGGTGAAGTCTAATATTTTAAAGTGAATCTGTCATGATCTCTGTCCTAAAGCCCACTCCATCACTCCAGGAAAAAAAAAAAAAAAAAAAAAAAATGTGTCCACCCTTGCAGTGGGGCTTCATAACTTCTGCAAACTGCAAGGGTTAAATGCTCATTTAGTCTAAGGCCATATTATTAGGAAGAACATACTTACCTTGCTCCAGCAGAAGAAGCAAGAGGATCACCATAAGAGCCAGATGACAGCTCTCTCTATTGCTCTCACTACAGTTGTATTATTAATGAGGGACAACAAACACACCAGATTGAATTTCCAATGTGAGGGAGACACTCATAGGAACGAGTTTCTCCATTGGAAGATTTCCCTCTATTCCTGTTCTGGTGGCAACTAAAAATTCAGACATTTCCCTCACTATCAATTAGAGAGGACGACTCTACGTAAGAGGGACACTCTAGCCCCTCGCCACTCTTTCCAAAATCGTTAAGTGGCTTTTTATAGTTTACATTTGCTTTTACATATTATTATTAAATATAAAAATTTGCAGAATACGAACTAGAAGGAGCAAACACTAAACTGACAAATTACTTCTTAAAAGGAGAAGTTCACCTTTAGGAAGGTTACATATTCCACCTGTTCTTTGGGTGGAACATGTAAAAATTTTCCGCTCTGCTGTATAGCTAGAATAGGGATCTTCTCTCCCTACTTGCGGTCTCTTAAAAAAACATGGCCGTACGGGGCTCTGCCCGCATCATTCATTCATAGAATTCTGTGAATGAAAACACTACAAGTCCTGACAGCCTTTGCAGCTGTTGGCTTGCAGTTCTCAATGAACTACCACAGCACTGTTGAACGATGTGGTAATTCATTCTCTCTTCCTGTCAGTGTGTATCTGTTTGCCTGTACGAGGTATCAGCACAGAGGCACACTGACAGGTCTGCAGGAGTCCAGTTCTGGCATTCTTTCTAGGCTCCTAGTAAAAAAAATAATAAATGCACATTTTTTTTTTACCTGCAAAAAGATGGACAATTATTATTTTTTAAAAAGGTGAACTTACTTAACAAACAGACTATCAGCTACATGGGGAGTGCATTGTTGGCTGACATACGTTTGCAATGTGTAGCACTACAAAGCAGGAAGCAGAGTCTGTATATGTAGTAAGCAAACATAGCTTCTCACATGCACAACTGCAAATTATATATTGAAACAAAAGTTTTTAAAAACATTAGCACACGATAAAGTATTTTTAATGCAGGTTCATCTTTTTTACATGTGAATCTAAAAAACTAATACAAAAAAGAAAATTCCAAAAAATTAAGTACAGTAAAGCTGTAGCATTTATTGGAGGGGTACATTACAGAGCAATAGCCTTATTGCATAGAAGTGTAACCTACACACGTTCCTCTCCACCTGCTGTCACAATACACTCCGAATAACCTCTGGGCTTGAAGGAGGCCAGGACAGCCTCTCCTTGCTGAGGCTGGCTCAGGGGAATGTTAGTGCACTCTCGGACCATTTCTCGTACTAGTGGCTCATTCAGCATTTGTTCACGGAGGTAGCTGGAGTCTAAGCCACTCACCCACAAGGCCGAGCTTACATCCTTCATGTAAACCTGAAGTAAACAAAAATAATTCTGTTAGGGTACTTTAAAGTGGAACTCCATGAAAAAAAAAATGTTTTCCCCCCATGTAATGGGCTGTGTCTGCACTGTATGGTTTAACTACTCGTTTTGTATAGAGGCGCACCAAAAAGGCTATACTTACCAGATCCTGCTAACCTCTAGAAAACTGCGTTCCCCCATGTCCAGTGGTGGACTGTTCCTGCTGTCCTCATGTCCAGAGCTGGTCTGTGGTCGTGATGATGTCAGGAACAGTCCATTCACAAGACTGCTAGCATGCAGGGGGGGGCAGGACCGGTGGGGACCGGTCTTGTGTCCGGAGGATGGGCGGATTAGGCAAGTATATCTCTGCTCTGAAATCCCCTAGACAATAAAACAGTTAAAAGACATTGTGGTGCCCTGAAAACACAATTTTAATTGTGTGCATGTAAAACCCCATTAGTAAACTGGAAGTATATAATAGCCTTGAAAGAGAAAAACATTTGCTGAATTATACAGAATGACAAGGTCCCCCACAGCTATCTCCTCCTGTACCACTATCCCCTCCCTCCTAGATTGTAAGCTCCAAGGAGCAGGGCCCTCAATCCCCTCATGTTTTGCATTGTATTGGTATTGTTCTGTCACATGTTCTGTCCCCCTCTGTAATGTACAGCGCTGAGCAAACCATTGGCGCTTTATAAATACTGTATAATAATAATATATGATCTGATCTAACCATGTAACTTGTTCCCTCTGTGTGATGCACTTCAATCTATGGATTATAATGTCTTTCTACGTACCCCATGATTGAATTATACAGTAGCAAAGAAGACAACAAGATTAACAGTATGCATAACAAATTACTAATAAAGGAGAATAGCACTGGGGTAGAATAGTGTGGAGAGGAGAATGGAAGAAATTTTAAGAGACAAAAAGGGAAGAATAAGACTCGGAGAGGAGATTTACAAATGGGGAAAGAAGGGAAGAAGAGGGCAGAGTAAAAGATGTGGAGAGCAAAGTGAAGGTCAGCATATATGGTTTGATGGTTAACACTTATGCCTTACAGCATTAGGGTTCAAATCCCAACCTGGACACTACCTGCATGGTTTTTGCATGTTCTCCCTGGGCTTGTCTGGGGTTTCTTGCAACATGCCAAATACATGCTAATAGGTTAATTGGCTCCTTTCTAAATTGGCCTCAGTATCTGTATGCATGCAAGATAGGGACCTTGGATTGTAAGCTCTTTAAGGGCAGGGGCTCATGTGAATGTACAGTATGTAAATCTCTGCCTTAATTGACTGTGCTAAATAAATACTTAAAATAAAACAAACGAGATGTGAAGAACAGGACATAGAGCAGTTTAAGAAATGGGAAAACCAGAATAGAGGAAGGAGTAAGAGATGTGAAGCCAGAACAAGAGACTGAAATGGGCAGCAAAAGATATAAAGGAGGGCTAGCCATAGATGGATCGAAATTTAACTGGTTCAGCAGGGACTGGACAAAATTTTGATCCATCTATCGCTGTTCCTGTTCCACAGAAGTTGATCTAATAGACTTCTCTTGAACTGGCTTGTTGGGAAATTTTCTTTTGATCAGCGCTGCTGATCAGTGTATTCTGACAGTGAAGGAGCCTCCTGCTTTCACAATACAATACAACAACACAGCGGGGAGGATTCCTTCAACCACCTTGTTTGTATGGATAGGTGAATCTGTTCAGTTTTTTTTTTTCAATCAGCCCGCTGTCTGATCAAAAAAGAAAAAAAAAAAAAAAAAAAAAAAACACACACACACACACACACACACACACACACACACACACACACACACCAAAAATTCCCTCATCCACACAAGTGAGGTGAATAGAGAAATCCTTCACACTGCTATTATATTCCGACAACAGGGACTCCTCTGCTATCAGAATACACTGATCAGCGCTGCAGCACTGATCAAATGAAAAACTTCCAGCACTCCTGTTCGAGAAAAGCCAGTCCTCCACTTCTCACGAGCGGGAATAGCCATGGATGGAGAGAAATTCAGCTGGTCCTTCCTGAACTGAAATCCTTAGGCCAGAAATGGCATCCTCCAGGTTTGTGTTATGATAGATGTGTACTTTAAAGTTTTCATTGACCTATAACATTATCTAGGCTCCTCGATAAGTGCAGCAGATAATCTTTGAAGTGTAGCCAACAAGCTACTAAATGGCAGCTAAAACATTTTGGGAATCACTTCTGACTATTCCAAAATTGGCTACAGACAGATTCTGTCAATCAGAAACAAACGGGCACTTATAAAAAGTAGTTCTATTTGGCTCCCTCGTGTGGTAAAGAAGACAGTTCTTTGTATGAGATGTCTTTGGCCAGTGATATATTTGCTGGGAGTTCATCCAGTTTCTGCTGATAAATGTGTACCGGGAAGAACTTCGCAAAGCTCTTGAAGAATGAAGAGAGTTTAGCATAAATGAAAAACAACTACAGTTAATGATAATCAAAGAAGACAGCAAATATAGTTCATGTGCAGAAAACAAATGCCTTAGGCCCAGTTTACTTGGGTTGGACTCTGTTTAGCTCATGCAAATGTGTGCAAACTAAACCCTTGTTTTTAATGCAAACTGTTAGACAGGACAATTTGGTTCCTTGCAGATGGGTCAGTAAGTTGAGCTGGGAATTATTCTCATTTATTGTCTGACATGCGTCTCCCTTCCATGTGCTCTTTGCTGTGAAGGACAGTTATAGATTGGGGCAGTGGCCATTTATTTGGACTCCATTTTGCTCAGCAGGAGATCTGTCTGCAGATCCCCTTCTGATCAGAGCTGAATGGGCGGATGACAGGTCAATATCTACTCAGTGTCTGCAGAGTAGACATGGACAGAACCCACTCTACTCTATAGGATGCCAGGAGTAAACGGACTCAGATGTGTTTACATGCAACTGCCCTCTAATCCAATACACCTAGACGGAAAGGGATCAATCCCCCTACGTGTTTTATTTTCTTCTTTTTTTTTTTTTAGAAGACCAGATCAGACCAGAGGTAGGCGGGTGTAAACTGACACAAGTTCCTTTACACCCGCAGGTCCATGGGGTGAATAGTCTGTCCAATAAGGTACGCCTGAAAAACTGACAAGCAGACCTGATAGGACCTTTTGTGTGATAAAGGGGCCTTTTATGGCACAGGAATTAATACATTTTATTAAAACTATATAAATAAAATAATTAACAAAAAGGAAAAAGCCACACAAAAAAGGAGCATGGATCTATGTAATCTAGATAAGTTTGGGTTGCTAAAATCACCTCCCCTCAGCCGTCTATATGCATGTCAAGGATGCCAAACACCTTTCTTTTTCAATCCTATAAAACCTTTCATTCAGCTGAAGTCATTTCAAGTTTAAAGTGAAGTAAAGTGAAAAAATACCGAAACACCTGTCTCAAGTGACCTCACTTAGGAGATTCATAAGACAGAGTGATGGGAAATAAAGCTGTCACCAAACAGGAATAGAACAGAAAATCCTCTAATAGGGTCATCTTTTCTGGTGAAAGTTGTAAGAGGATTTTCCTCACTTTGGAGAGGTCTCCTATTACTTCCAGCTGTGACTTTGAGACAGGAGGTGGAAGGAAAAAACTGTGCCCAATGAGACACCAAAAGCCTGAAAAGCAAAAACAGAAACTGATGGGTTTTACCATATTTGATAAAACTAAGGTTAAAAAAAGCTTTGGAAATAACAGCTTGCAATAGTAATAGTCATGATCTCCTGTTGAAAAGGAATGGACGACAGGTCTTCCTACAGAGCTAAACCTTCTCTGAATCATTTTCCTTCTTCAGTAGAGACCACCATGGTAGAGGTAAAGACAGTACAGGCAAAGATGGCTTCTAGCTGTCAGAAATGTACTAAAATGTAATGCCTAAGTAAACAATACAGAAGCACAATTACCTCTTTCGTATGTCAGGGCTGCTGAAGCCTTCAAGTGAATGACACATCTGCCCAAGGGTCAACCACACAAGAGAAGTCCTTGTCATCACTGCATGACCAGGTGTGAGGGAGAAGCACATAAAGAAAGCCTCACAATGGCCTCCAGGACAACAAGCTGCCAGGTTAGCCAGCTGATACATAAGATTGGACACAGCTGGTCACATGGTAAAAGAGGCTGTGATTGGCCCGTTCTTTAGTCATGTGATCAGCTGTGTCCGAAGGGCACAGCAATCACAGATCGGGCATGTGGGGGTGTGTGGTTCTGGGAGAACGTCCATGGATGCCCCTCTCAGAACTAGTCGACCACGTTGTAGCCGTCTTTTGGCTATAGAGCAGTCGGAAACTGGTAAAGGGGAACTTCACTCTCTCAATCAATACTGATCATTTTGAATCCGTATGCTGTCAGAATAAATGGATAGGAAAGTAGATCATATTTACTTGTTTTATACTTTTACATTTCTTAACGTACTTCCTGGTTTCCAGGCTTAGGCAAATTATGTCATACATCCCAGGAGTCTTCAGGAAGGTAAGCTAAGCACCCCATCCTGCCTGAATGTCTGAAGTAAGGACAGATGGATTCCAGTAAGTAGCTGCTACATGAATAATCTGCCTTTATTCAGAATGGCCACAGCCAGATATGCTAAGGGGGTGTTTTTCAAAGTGATTTCCCAGCAAAAAAAAAGCATGGAGACATGGATGGATGGGGGAGTTTGCTTTGAATATTAAAAATGAATTTAAGAGCACTTTTGGTTTGTGGTGCTCAGATACAGTGTATTTCTGCTTAAAGGAGAAGTACAGCCAAAGCTCTTTTGGCTGTACTTCTTCTAGGGATCACAGAAGTGCAGTTTGTTCTGCACTCCTGTGACCTGGATGCATATGACAGCAGGCTGAAGTCACTCAACCGGTCCAGGCTGGGGAAAGACTCTGACTTTAAAGTTGGGATCCGCCCCAGAGTCTGGAGCGGCACCTGGCTCAGCCTCTCAGCAAAATGCTGAGAGCTTGAGCCAACCGCTCCCTCCCCCTCCACAACCCAGCGCTCCAGTGA